CATCGTTTGAAAATTCATCTGAAAATACCGACTAAAAAGGATTACGTTACTAAATATTACACCACAGTGAGCGGTGTTACCGTCGTCATCCTCATTCTGGTGCCGCCCGCCGAAAATCGATATTATCGAATTACGAGCGGTATGAAGTAAGTCGATTCGTATAGAATGTTCAGCCTCCTTGTCTTCTTTGAGATTTTCTGAGCGCATCCGTTCATGATCTGCTTTCTGATAGCCCAGCTGAAAATCTTTTTGGAAACACATTAAAAGCGATTGTATGGGCGAATTCGGGAGTTCTAACTGCTGCACCGCTCCTCCGTCTCAGGAAGGAGGGTGCACCAAGGTAAAAAGTACAATGTAGGTAGCACCGGTGTGCCATCGATTGGTAGATCACCACCAGCCACAGACGTCGCCGGAGCACCCGCGCGTAAGCAAAAAACGCGGGAAATCTCGCGTTTCACTCCTTTGCAATCCTTCGAGACCCATTTCGACTTCTGCGGCACCGGCAAACAGCCGTCTCTAGATAGTGGTCCCCCTCCACGTGGCGCTTAGCTTCCACCTACCGTTCGCTGTGGTAAGAGCCTCTTTTTCATTTCACTGTTGGTACCTGTGTACCGATTTTCCCCTGTGTTTGTCGATCTTATTAGATTCATCATATTTCTTTTGTTTGGAGAGGTTAGATTTTAGTCATTTGAAGGAAAGATCAGAAGGTACTTGATTTGGCGGCAGAAGGAGAACAAAAAAGGCATGTAAAGCATCTCGTTCCTTAGAACTTAAAAACTCACAGCGAACAAAACGAAATCGGCAATTCAGTAAATACATGCTCACGAAGACGAAGCAGGCAAATTTTTTGATATGGGGAAGAAAAACAAAGAAACAACAAAAGAAGATGAAGAAGAAATTCCTATAACATAGATACAACAGTTGGTATATACGGATACAGAGCACCAACTGCAAGTTGCGAGAGTAGCATAGCGGCTTCGGATACCATCTTAGTAGGTCCGTCAACTCCACCAAGGTCCACCTGATATCCAGAGGCGCGGGTTGTGGAATAAGAGAGAAGTCGTTCAAAGTCAGAAAAACTAAGCATGTACAAGAGGATTTCTCGACGGAAAGTTTGCAAGAAATCAAAAATTCTTTATCGAAATACACGTACAACATGTATTGAAAACAGACTACAAAATTCCAGATTGCCTGCTGAGATCTAATGCACAGTTGACGGAGGGATACAGTATGAGTGGAGCATCAACGGCAGAGCTAGAAATGAACAGAAAGCTTTTCTTACGATTCACATATTGGGTAGCGCAGACCAGGCCACCGACTCAGTCGCTAAGATGTCGTTTACTAAGTAGAACTCGTATCTAGTGTGGAACGTCTGTCAACTACTGATCGAAGGCCGACACGCAATCAAACGAAGCAGACAGATGATTAAACGGAAAAAGCCACAAAAATGCAAAACCTATATCATGGGAGGCGACGCAGTTCATCACAAATGGAGCCTATGTCGTGAAAAAACAGATTGAAAAATCCAGAAAAGAGTCACGGGGAGCCGAGGAGGAAGTTAAGGAGGTTACTCAACAACTGGTTTTCGTAAAGAGATGCTGCGAAAAGAAGCGAAGGGAAGGGAAGATAGTCCTAAGACTCAAAAAAAACTCAAAACTCAGCTTCGGAAACGGCAATTCCAACCCACACCCACAACGATCAAAAAAGGTAAACGATTCATAAGAAGGTAAGAAGGGTTGAAGGGGAGATGGAATTGTGGGCGAAGGACAGTTCGAGGCGACTCAAAAGCGCAAGGAAAGGAATTTTTGAGAGTGAAAATCACCTCTCAAAAGAAGAGACAGGCAGTCCTTTCGTGTTTGTTTTTAGCATATTCGTCTTACGGGCAAGAAACAGAGGAGGCGAGACGCTGGCATTCGAGTACAAATAAAAAGAAGAGAAGAGATCAATGAAAAGCAGAAATTATGCTGGTTCTGCATCGAAGAAATGCAGATCTCTGCGCAAAAAGGAAGCCATGCTGGTATGCAACAGCAGCAACCATCCACGAATCACTATGGTGCTTGCCGAAAGAAATCAAAAGCTAGGAAAGAGAAGAGGAGAAGTTATGGAAGGACTTGCAAGCCATCCCTTCCCGGAGAATGTCGCATTAAGGTGACTGCGCCACCGATCTTTAGATCTACACCTGCTGCGGACGTTGTTTTAGTACCCGCACAAGAACAAGAAGCGCAGGAAATCCTTTCAGCCTTCCGTAATAGCATCGGAGGCCACATTTCTGACTACTTGTTGCACACGGCAAACAGGCTATTAGTTGGATAGTACCTCAAGACAGCGCTTCTGCCGCATATATGGTCACCCTTACAGTTTAGCGTTAACAATAGATTCTTCTTCAATTCACTGGTACTCTGTACTCTGGCTATCGACCCCTTTGTACACTAGTTGTTACTATATTTTGTTAATAACTGTAGAAAGACCCGTCCATCGTTCCTTATCGAACGTTAGTACTCTGGACCTTCCAATTTTCAATTATGTAACCTTGCCAATACTCTCCTGAAGTTCCAATTACTCATCTCACTCATTTGGTTACCTTGTACGAGATTTGCCTCATGAATACACGATTGTTTTGTTTTATTTTCCTCAGGTCAGTTTCTCTCCCGCATACCTCTTGAGTGACTAGGAAGATCCGGCGTCTTTAGCGTACGCTAGATCTCTGCCTATACTTTCCTAGTCGCTAAAACGTTGGTGTACGCTGGCTGTACGAGCTTGAAGCTGAATCTCAAGCTGAATCCTTGTCTTCTAGGCGTTTTTGTGTAATGCATCTGTACTTAAACTTGTCACTGGATTTTCGTATAAACTCCCGGTTTTCTCGAACCAAGATGCTCATTAGTGCTTGTATGTCTTAATGCACTACAATACTTGAACACGTACTGTTTGAGTTTCAGGTCAGTAAACCTACATCCACTAAAAGGAGACGAAAAAAGTGGTATACCAAGACCTATACCATACCAAGACTATAACCACACAACATCTCTTGTAAGTAGAGTTTGGTTTTTTGTTAGTTGCTTGTCATCACCTCTTCTTGCTACATAGGCTCTCGATGATCCAGGTTTGTGAAGAATATTCCAAAGAAAAGTTGGTTGTCTTTCAATTCACATTTGATAAAGTCCACTTTCTCAAATGCTGTGACTGGTCAAGGCCCATCCCCTAACCACCAACCTTTGATCATCCATCGCCACGCAGTGGTACGCCTTACAACGCCCACGCGATGATCGCGGAATCTTCTTAATATCCAAAAATCGTCTCTAGCTAGATAGGAATGTTAGTATTATATAATCGCGATCAAATCAATACTCGTAGCTACATGACTTCAAAGTTTCTCAAATAGGAACAGCGAGACTCTTCACTTTCAAGCTTCCGTTCTCCCTCCAAACTCGTAAACCCACCGGCCAACATCAAAACCATTCCTTTTCACGATTCATCGGGAACACTGCTCTTCTTGGAAACTAACTGTTCTTACCTGCCTTCGGTTGGAAAATACGAAATATTTTGCTTTAAAGTCGTCCTTGGTGTAATTCGATTTATACGCGTGGCCCATCAGATCCTCCATAGCATGGCCGACCTTCGAAAAAGAATTTAAGTATTAGTCCGTTTCGCTGATCTTTAAGGTTACTCGAGCAGCAGAAGGAGCTAGTCCTTCTGCTACTCAAGGGGTGCGGAAGGGACGAACTCATGAGCGGAAGGGTGCGTACAATTGTTTTGTCTTCAACAGTGCTCTCCTCCTTTCTAGAACGCTTCAACAGAAATCACAAATGGTTATCAGTCTCTGCCCAAATGATTGTTGTGGAAAGTGCTACGTTTGGTAAGGAAAAATTTTCTATTCTATCTATCGTTGGTGTGTTCTATAGCCGGCTGTGAAGCGAATTCAGGGATTTCGTAGGAAACTGGGGCTAACTTAAATACAGCAACAAAGAACGCTATAACTTTGACACTGATTTAACCACCACTGGCGGTTGTGAAGACACTGCTAATGGGAGTATCTCTCGTGATCGGAGCTATGTACACCCCGTCTCGCTATTATGATAGGTCGGAGGACCTAAACGCTTATAAGGACGTAACCTTCTGGGAGGAAGAATAGATTCAGTGAGAAGCGTACCTCTGTCAACCTTATTCTGTGATGTTTCTTTGACGTGATCCCCATTTTGGAGCGGAGCGTATGAGGGGGCCCTTTGTCCTACAAGGTATAGTTTGCTCTCTGACGGCGATACATAACGGTTGGTACGTAGTACCGTGTTATAGAGGTGCTCCAGACGACCATAGGTCAGGAATCTATTCATGGAAACACCGTTTTCAAGCAACAGTTGAACGAAATCTGTTCGGTCATGACATAAAGCTTCCATCATCGCGTTGTGAAGATCTTGGGTACTCCATTCCTAAAAGAAGTTAACGTGACCCAAACTGACAATTCGATTGAATTACAACTAACCGTCCCTAGTGTGAAAATTTCCGATCGAGCAATATCAGCACGATTCCATGCCAACGCCAACTGCAGTTGTTCAGGTGAACTGAGGTTTTGGCCTTTCAATAGAGCAGTGAGAATTGCATGGTCGACTTCCTGACGCTGTTCCCCGAGACGGAATACAGTCATCTGAAACCAGTAAAAACGCGTGAATATCATGTTCTTTACAAACTTCATAAAAAGAGCCTTGTTAGTGACACTTTGGAGGAAGGAGAAGAGGAAGAATTAGGGAAGAGAATCGCTATAGACACCTTGAGGTGATACCGTTCAGAGCAGGGTACGAGTCAAATGACTCACGACTTGCTCCAGCATTTGACTAATATAACCCGAAAGTGCTCGTCCAGCTGACTAGTTCCTGTGCGTGACGAGCACATGACACTCGACCGGAGTGCGCCGTACGTTGCGGACCACGAACCCAAGGAAGGGGTCAAACTCGATCGTGAAAGGAGTTGTATTTGGCCCGACAGAAACGTCCTTGATAGTTGATCTTACCGCTTCACCCCACCTACCGCTTGGCGCAGTTTTATCAGGTGTAGGGTTGGCGCTTTAATTTGGAAAATGTTCCCCAACAAGAGCACCACTGCATAGTCAACGAAAAGACGATATAGCGTAGGCCACTGAATGCGATTTTGGATCCGTTTATATCCGCAGAGTCTTCGAGAATGGATGAAACGCTCACCAAATTCCTCTGACGGGCGCAGTCGATCAGTTGACGGACGATTCGAGCGGCATTCTTCTCATCGTAATTGAATACCATCTCTACCAAAGACATCAGTTGGTTGCGGACTGAGTCGGTCAGTTTTCTGAAAAGACCATGACAAAATGCCCCATTGCAAGTAAAATGCAAGGCGGTGGCTGGGAATGCGAGTTCGACATATCACTTCGACACAATCTTCTTTCATACGGGAAATTCGACAGACAGGTGAACCACTGCTACCGTAACCTACGCCGTCCTAGGCGCCCTCCCGTCCTGGTGCGCGCGCAGAGCTTCGTTCGAAAAGCAAACCAGTGTGTTGTAAGGTGCATCACGCGGGTAGTGTTGTAAGCGGTATGATATTTCAATCGAAAGGACATCACATCTGGGAAACTGAACAATTCGCAAATCCACGAGTGCGCGGGATACGGCAGCTGCGATTCTTCAGACTGCAAAACATTGTTGCTCTATCTCGGTTAGTCAACAAATTTTGTTGAAAATGTTGCAATTGCTGTACCCGTCGTCTCCAATCGCATGATGTGTGAAAGCCAGTAGATCAGCCGCTCGTCCGCTTCCGTCACAAATCACAACAGGAATCCGTGGAGTACTGTAATAGCATGGAACTTGGTAAAGGGGTATAAAAATATATAAATTGTCTATGCTCAGTAGAGCTCAAGTGAAAGTAAAAGAAATCAACCAGTAACTAATCGGGGGCTAATAAGGATGAGGAACCTACGATGTGATATAGTCGTGAACGACCTTGATTGTGAACGCTCCACCCTCCAACACCACACAAACGACCGGAACTGATGAGGATTTGTGTTGCGCCAAGTAAGTCTCGAGTCGTTTTCGTAGGATTATTTCCGAACCGTACCTTAAAAGATTGTGCAATCTCACAAAGTACCATGCGGGTTAACAACTGCTAGAGTTGGCCGAGGTCCAAGTCACGGATTCACGTGGACATACATGTGGTCATGAAGAAAGTGAAGGAAGCTCCTTTTCTTGAAACGGTTTTTGGCAGGGTTCTGATTCTGTGAATCAATTCAGCCGTATTCGGAGCTAACAATTGCGGCCGCCATCCTACACTTCATCCTACAGTAACCTTCGTCTGAACTGTAAAACTCCCACAAGAACACACGTAGCCATTCTTTCCACCTCATAGCGAAACTCTAGAAACTGGATAAATACCGCACCTGCCAACGGTTCCATTATCAGCAAACAGAAAATAAGAGTGACGATCGTTCAATTCGGCCAGTCGCGATTTGTTGAACTGGTTTGTTGCGTAATGTACTGAAACGTCCTGAAAATCAGGTCTCAAGTGTTACAATGGTCTACTGTCGGTCAATCATTTGCATGAATCTCCAACCGTCCCGATGAAGCGATTCCTTCGTTTGAGCATGCCCCACGGTGCTACGCCAATTGCGATCACTTTGGTTCGAGATCGTGACGTTGAACCAAGGTCTGTGAAACAAAATTCCAAGTATAGCGTTGTCATATAGTTTGAAATGTTTTCGTCAAAGGTCAGGGTTGGATGATTAACTAGGCTATCCTCTGTGGTCATCTCATCCATTACAGTAAACTTATAGCTTCTGAGTTTATCCTATGGAAATGTCGGTTTCGCTGCCAACGCTGGGGCGTGTCAGGAAGCTGGAGAGACTGGGTTTGGCGCGGCGCTAGCCCGTTTTCCACCAATTAGAATCGTCTGCCCGTTTCAACAACTGGTGGAGAACGTGCGGCGCGTCGCCGATCCCATCCTATCCCCTGACACACCCCACCATCTGCAGCAAAACTCATTTTTCAACCCAAGTTCCCGCCATTAGTGGACAGGGGATACCCCGCGCTGGTCACTTGGGAGAAGTCAGGTAGACCAGTGAGCTTTCCCCATTTGTAGTCCCCTTGACTCGAAGACCCTGAAGAAAAGATCGAGTCAGTAGTAGAAGCTTGGACTCCGCCCGCACAACTAGCGTGGTCCGCGTCTTCAATCCATGGTTCAGCCGCCCAGTTACCGGAGGGGCGCGCAACTG